TCTTTCTTTCTTTCTTTCTTTCTCGGACTATACGCACACACCATCATGCCTGACTAATGTTTTTTGTATTTTTTTTAGATGCCGCGTTGCCCGGGCTAGTCTTCAACTCCTGGCTCAAGCGATCCTCCTGCCTCAGCTTCCCAGAGTGCTGGGATTAGAGGCATGAGCCACTGTTCCCAGCCGCAGATCTTGCCATTTCTCTTCAAACTACTGAATTAATCTCTCAGGTGACCTTTGTATTCCCAAAGGTCCCCTTCTAATCCTTCAGCCACACACACAGAAGGAGCCTTCCTAAAATACAGGAATTATTCCCCAACTTCAAACTCATCCATAGTTTTTTAATGCTGATTGAAAAAAAAAAAAGTCAGACACTACATTAAATCAACAGGCACATTAACAATAATATAAGTTTAAATATATTTGTTTTCATACTTATTTCAAAGTCTCTTTTCTAGACTGTGAAGTTAAATGGGTAGTGACTCTAATGTTCATGTCTGTATCCTTAGCACATTGCATAGAGCCTGAAGATAGTCAGTGTTGGTTCTGTTGAATAAATGGGTTTGTTTCTGTTAAGTTGTATCTGATTGGGTTGGCCCCTTTGTTTTGTTCCACCAGTCATATTATTAAACCACTCACTGCTCTCTCTCCCAGTGTTTTGCATACTTGAGAAGGATGACTGTCTACGCCTTCACCAAGATATTAAATGGAAAAGACTGGGGATAAAGTTCTCTGCCACTCTACTCTAAGTAATAACAGCAATCTGGCGATTTACTGGGTTGGAAGGTTTTTTTTCCAGGAGTGTATCAAAGAGAGTGATTAAGAAGGAATTTAGGGACAAATTATGTTTGGGAAGCCAGGCAGAAACTGATGATAAACATTATCATAAAAGTGACAACGCCAAATGCTGGTGAGGATGTAGAGAAACTGGATCACTCACACATTGCTGGTGTGAAAGTAAAACAGTACAGCCACTGTGAAAAAATAATTTGACATTTTCTTAAAAAACTAAACATGCAACTACCATAAAATCCAGTAATTGTACTCTTAGGCATTCATCCCAGAGAAACAAAAACTTATGTTTATGCAAAAACCTGTACACAAATGGTCATAACAATTTTATTTTTAGTAGCCAAGAACTGGAAACAACACAGTTGTTCTTCAGTGGATGAATGGATAAACTTTTGTACATCTTTGTAATGAAATACTATTCAACAAAAAAGGAGAACAAACTATTTATATACACAGTAATCTGCTGCATCCTTAGAGAATTATGCTAAGTGAAAAAAAGTCAAACCCCAAAGGTTAAATTCTGTATAATTTTATTTATGTAACATTCTCAAAATGACAAAATGAAAGAAGTAAAGAACAAATTTGTAATTTCCAAGGGTTAAGGAGAGGGTGGGGGCACGAGGGAAGTGAGTGTGCTATATAAGGGCTGTGTGAGATCCTTATAGGGGCAGAATTGTTCTGTGTCTTGCCTGTATCAACGTCAGCATACTGGTTTTGATATAGTAGCATAGTTTTGCAAGATGCTACCGCTGGAGGAAACTTGGTAGAAAATATGCTGGATTGCTCTGTATGATTTCTTAAAACTTCATGTGAATCTATAATTATCTTAAAAAGTTTAAAAATTGTTTTAAAGATAATCAGAATATAGAAATATATAATACACATATAATGATATGGAATATAATTAACATAAATTATACATAACTAGAATGACATATAACTATAATTATGTATAACTGTAATTACATGTATGCATATATGTAACTTTCATTCTCTTCATCCACAAATTTCACAAATTAGAGGAAACCACAGTTCACCTTTTGATATGCTTTTTTCAAGACATTTTCTAAATATTGACAAATATATATGAATGATACATTGCATATATGAATGACACATGCCTTACTTAAATTGCTGTCTATGTGAATATTAATTTAATTTATATAACGTGTATTATATTGTTTCTAATATCTAATTTCTAAATATTTTTTGTTACTATATGAAGTGTTATTATATATTTGCATACATTTTTGTCTTTATGTCTTCAGAAAAATCCTTGAAGTGGAATTGCAAGGTCCAGAATTATATGATGTCTTGATAACTAGTCACACATTTCAATTGGAAAGAACAGTTGGTATCTCAGGTGACTGAGGTCAGAGAAGTACCATTTCCAAAGATGGGATTAGGGACCCAAGACAATGCCTAGGGTATGGTTGTTCTCCCTGAGCTAGCTGTAAATCCCTTTTTATTAT